CATAAAAAAAAACTCTTACAAAAACTTTATTCCAGCTAATCCACAATTACTCTGCAGCATGCACTTTTAACATACTTATGGTATTAAAAATTAATTACATAAAGACTGAAGAAACCAATTTATTCTGAAGTGTTCTCCACCACAATCAAATTATAATGTATTATACAACTATCCTTTTGGTATTGACCACGTGTTCATGTGAACTAATGAAAGTCTTGTTAAAATATATTTCATAAAGCTCCAAAACATCCAGCCAGCAAATTATTACTAGATAAACATGCCAAAATCTACATTAGATGCTATTCAAATGAAAAAGCCTGCTAAATATCATTCCCTTGAAATTACTTGCAATTTCATTACACAAGTTCTGTAGTGATTAAAGCAGTAACAGTTTAAGAAAGGTATCTAAACTCTTCTAAGTTGTATCCTATTGTTCCTAAAAAGGGACTCTAATAAAGCTGGAGCAGCTTTAGTAAAAACAGAAACCCATAAAAAGTTGTTTTGTTTCTGTATGGAAACTAAGACTCCACACAGCAATGAGACAAGAACTGGGATGTATGGTTTTAGGGGTGCAGAAGGGTAAACAAATGAAATATTCAGGAAGCTGACAGCTCTAATTAAAAGTGTTCAACACATTTCAATGTATATTAAATTGTGAGACTATTTATCCATGAAGAGAAAAAAAAAAACATAACAAAACAAATCCTTATGCTCTAAAGCTGAAAATTCACTCCTACAAGTAGTCCAGTCTAGGCCTACCAACTGCTTTCAAGAGATGGTAGATCATAATCTTGTAGGAGATTTATAACACTGGAAACTAATAAACTACATGGGAAAACTTCACCACAAAAAGTCATCTTTCCACCTACCTTGGTGGTGTATTTGCTCCTTACTACCAGACCCAAAATACATTAATATTAACCGTAAAGTAAAAACTCAATCATTTGAAACAGCGCGGATCTCTCAGAGAAATGAACTCAACAGAATTACTTGCATTGTATTGTACTAAATCCTTGTCCTTCAAAAATGAAGGAAGAGAATGATCACAGAATGTTTTAATATACTTTAGGTAATCCGATGTAGATGTTAATTTAGGGTGGTTGAGCGACCTGAACAGTCCTTAATACAACATATAATAATAAAACTACAAACAAAATAATTCAGAAGGAAACTGAACTAAAACTAATTTATCCATAGTATGATATATGCTCCTTAATTTTAAGACATAGGATTAAAACAAACCAGAAAAAGAAACTGAATTGCCTACTTTCTAAGATGAAAAATAAAAATTAAAAGGTTTCTTGAAATTTTAAACATTTAACTGAAAGAAGAGCGTTATTGGTGGTGAACAATACCCAGTTACATTAACATGAAGTTTAAGATGTCTTACAAGTTCAACATTTGCAAAGTAAAGAGTGATTTGATTACAATCAATCAAGCCCTATTAGAAGTGCTTCATAATAATTTTTGTGTTCATTTATCATTTTCATGGTTTTAAAATGTGATCAGCATGCACACACATTTAGCCTCAGAAATTTTTTAGTGACAGTATAATTCTTGTTAACATAGGAAGCACGTAATGTTATTTGACTGTTCACAACAAAAGAAAACTATTATCCCAACTCCCCACATACCTCATGAGCCAGCATTCTATAAAGTTCTTCTTTTGTAATAGAAAGTCGCTCTCTGTCAATGCTGTCAACAACAAGAATGATGAACTAGGGGAATAAACAATAGGACACTAAGTAAGTACAAAGTATAAATTACAGAAAGCATCTTTCCAAGAGACCACTACCACAAGTCTTCCTGTGTAAGAGAGACACAGACTTTCAGAGTACACTAGAAAACAGAACAAGATGTTTATTATTACAGTCTTTTCCTAGAGCCCTGGGAATCGTACATGAAGATTATAGTTAAAAAAAATAAATAAAAAAAATCATTGTGGTTGTACACTTCAGCACTGCTAGTTTCTTGTACTATGGTTCAATCTCCTCGGTGAACTTTCAGGCCCTACACCATCAGGAAAACAGTGACGTAGGTACCAAAAGCACCTACAGACAGTGGATTTCATCTCAAATGTGGATGACAAACTTGCTACAATGAAAACAGCTATTACTGTCCATTACTACTTGCACGTTCAGAAAACTATAAAACTGAAAATGAAAATTCCCTATTTTGAAAGAAGCATTTTTAGCAATTCACCATCATCTTACTCACAGGGCTTAAGACGTGTTATTTCAAAGTAGTAGATCAGCCCTCAGAATGCTATGTACCTGTAGGGCTTTGGGTTGTGTTGTTCCACAGCACCTTAACCTTTGTAACCCAGAGGACCTGTGCGGTTGGCCTCTCACTGAAAACCTCCACACCCTTCCAGCGAGGCACCTGGAGATTGCTCCAGCAGTGACTTTACCCTCACTGTTTCTGCCAGGCTTCATTCTTCTCACACCCATGCACTTGGGAATCCTGAGACACTGCTAGGTCTGGGACAGCAGGTCTCCCACGGGAAGCAAGTGTCATCGGAATGAAAATTACTCTCTTTCTGCCCCTTGTGTTGTACGTTCTATTTTGTAGCCTGCCACTAGAGAGGAAAAAGATGTGGCGTTATGTAGAAGGTAATACTCAAGTAAATGTGTGCAAGCATTACGTAACAGTGTGTGTACACAAACCACAACAACGGAGCAGTGTTCAACACTTGTCCTGCCCACAGGGTGCTCCAAGCAGTGCCAAGAGTGTCACAGGTGGGAACCACCACAAGGGAGATCAAACACTTTCTGATGAAAATTATACAGATACTCAAAAAAAAAAAAAAAATTACATTACAGGGAACATGTGCTGCACGGGAGAGAAAGCCAATGGGATGACATTATTAGATGGGGCACTGAGGGATATGGTGTAGGGGAGGACTTTGTAGAGTTGATGGTTGGACTCGATGATCCCAAGGGTCTCTTCCAACCTAGACGATTCTATGATTCTATGATTAATCTGAGAGACTCCATTACTCCTCTGCCCAGGTGGGAATACTTTTCCATCCTTTTTTACTGTAACTCTTTTTGTTTGCCCCCACCCGTGATAACTTAACCATGAGAGCTGCCTCTCCTTTCCTCTCCCCCCAGGTCTTACGTCTGTAAATCTGTCTCACCATCCTTTCTGCACTCACTCTTAAAACACAATTGCAGAATTAGCCATATTGAATTGAAACTAATTAGGATAGGTATGCACTAGGAAGCTTATTTGTGGGATTTTTACATTACTCGAAAGATTTTTTTTTACATTGCTTCAATTTACAAGTAAGCAAATATAAAAAAGAGAGAGAGTAACAAAAAAGGAGGATTAGAAGTCACTGCTATAATTATCCAACATATGCTCCAAATCACTTTCCCTTATAAAATTAAGGAGATTCATCACCCATTTAAAATGTCCACAAAGTATGAAAAACAAGTCAATTTAATGCTGCTGTGACTTTGAGATGTCTAGCAGATGAGGAGGAACAGTAAAGGAATTATTCATATCAGGGAGGGCAGGATTAGCATACTAAACAGACCCCGTTTCTTCCTCAACTGTTTACAGCAGACAAAGCTTCTAAGTAAAGAGAAAGTTATTCTTTCCAAGTGCTAGAAAGGACTCTTACTAACCAGAATGTGATGAAGAGCATCCCAAAAGGACCAAAAAAAGAACTAACACGAGCATCTCCCCAAATTCCAAAATCAAAGATTCTCAATGGACACATCAAGAACTTACTGCTGTTGTACCAGATAATGCTGGCATAAGTCTCTTCACCCTCATGCATATGTGGCTTAGATGCAGTCATACTTTTCTAGATAAAATTAGAACTAACTTTAAATTACTAGAGATGAAAGCTGAAATGTCATCCCCAGGCTTTCAGTAGATAAAGAGTTTCTGAACATTCTAACCTCTTCTCTCTCAAAGGGGGGCATCGGGCAGAAAACTTCATGTTACAGGAGGATGGAATGCCTACATAATGAGTAGGATCTACAAGAGATCCCTATTTTTAGTAGAAATGGTAATAAAATGAAATCTAAAATCTTCTACATCTATGTAGGTTATATGTTGTGTTGATAACCTTTTGGCATCAAAAAGAAACCCCAAAAGACAACTTGTTGCTGAGTTCTACTCTAACCTTTCCAGCGATGGCAGCTTTACCAGTTATCTTATGAGTACTGCACAGCTAGACTGTCCTTTATCTGTTGGGTAGAAGTCACAAGCTGATGAGCAAGCTTTTTAATTACAGCTGCTTAGAGAAAGCTTCAACCCTCACCTGTAATTATTGTTACCTCAAAAACATTTCAGAGCAGATGTACAGAAGTTAGGTTAACTACTGCAAGCCCCCACTGAATCTGCAAAGTATATTGTAAAATTTTCTTTTTCATCTACTTGAAAAAACATGCAAAAACCCCATTTGATCTGAAGTGTATTTTGATATCATTTAATTGTACAGGAAAAAAGTCTAACCTCATAGTTTATACCACAGATCAAACAACATTACTGTAAAGTAATACTTCAAATATTGCCAGAAAATTGGCTGCATACCAGAGACACCTTACACTTTTTGGGTTTGCTCTTGCTCAAAGCAATTTAAAGACAATACAGTTACAATCTTCATAAAAATCTACCAATACTCCTAATAAATAAATAAATACAATTTCAAACAAACATATTGAATTTTCAGATTTCAAAGCAGCTTCTCATACCTCTGTGTTTGAATAATAGGTATTCCACGATGACCGTAATGACTCTTGTCCTCCAATATCCCACATTAAGAAATGAGTGTTTTTCACCACTATTTCTTCTACATTGCTTCCTATGGTTGGAGAAGTGTGAACCACTTCATTCATCAAGCTAAAGGAAACAATATCACATTATAAAGACCAGGCAGTAAAATCCACAAGGCTTGTCAGAGCTCAATTACAATAAATTTATTGTAGAAAAAGTGTACAAAATGTGTAACTTTGATAAAAAAAAAATTAGAAAAACTGGGTGTATTTTAAAAAGCTATGCATTCGAATTCTTATAGAAATAAAGCAAATATTTAAGAACAGTTCTTTAGTAAAAAGATTAGATCGATCCCAGCTTGGACTAAAAACTGTGGTTGACTTGCTTTTGTAGCAGAGACTATAAACATGCTTAAAGACAACAACAACAAAACCATAAAAAATGGATAAGAATCAGCATTTTAATAGGCTTCTCTTTTTAAAGAACACTCTTTAACAGATAATTAAAATGCACTTGTTTTGAAGTAGAAGCTGCTATTCTAAAGATCCCAAATAAGAGAACACTAACCTGTGCAAAATATAAATCAGAATATATTTTTTTCAGAGCACTCAACTTAGTAATTCGATATTAAAACAAACTACTAAGGAGTGTTTGTTTACATAGCTGAAAATTTCTCAGTTCTACCTCTAAGCTTTGTCAGAAGTGCTTAGGAACAGGTTTTTTTTGGAAAACATCCTGTGCTGCCTTCCTAGCCAACTACATGCATAGTCATTTGGCTACACCCTTCTCCTTTTCCACAATTACAATAATTAATTCTGTTCCTGCTGATATTCTTGAATTTATGATATATATTCTTGCAATGCTGGCAAGATTTGGATCCAATGATGCTATTGAAAACGCTGAAGGTAGTACCTAGGCAAGATGAAATACTGCCTTGAGGAATCCTCCATCATAAATTTTAGATGCTGAAATCAAGAAACATTTATGGATTTTTGCAGAGTGGCTAGAATTTCCATTAATTTAGAAATCACTTCCTTCTCTGCAGTTCTTGGCGACAGGATTATTTCTATGCTTAAAAATAAAGATAGGCTTTGATGGCAAAAATTTGCAATTCACTTTGTGCTTGTACATACAGTTTTTTTATTTAATTTACGGTTCAGTTTTAAAACACTATAGTTTCTTCACTTAATCCTTTAAATATTTAATCTGTTTAGAACAGCTAATACCATTAATATCCAAACTGTAATCTAGATCCCTAGAGATTCCGCCAGGTCGCAAAGCTGAATTTTCAATGATTAAACAGTGACAAATACTAAAATGTAAACAGAAAACCAAAGTAGTTTGTGTACTTACAATTGGTAAAGAATAGTAGTCTTTCCAGCATTATCAAGTCCCACTATGATTACTTTGTGCTCTGCATATACACAAAAAACCCCAAGAATAAATTAGTCTAAACAGCAATAATTATAATTCTGTTTAATCACTTTTCCTTACTAAAGGAAGGAACTGCTTGTTTGTCTTATTTCAACAGCTTGCACAGACTTCAAGGTGGCTTCAAGACAGGGGAAAAAAAAAATCCACAAAGCTTCATATTCTCTAGAGACTACAGTTTTAGGAAAAGTCAGAACTGGAAGTCTTCATAAAGGAATTGTTGCTAATATGATTACTTCATTAAAAAAACAATTCTAGAAAGAAAAATTTAGAAAGAAAAATACAATGAAAAATATAACTCATAGCAGTGTATCATCTTAAGAACATCACCAAACATCCAAAGACTGCACAAAAGATTAGTCTAACATTCAAGGCTCAATAACAACCACTTGTTAAGGGACCACCAACATTGACATAGTAAAAACTAAGAGGAAGCTGTATTTTGAATAGATCACATATTCCAACATTGCAATTTCTGAACTGAAAAGTCACAGAGTGACAGAATGGTCAAGGTTCTAGAGGTCATCTGGTCCAACTCCCTTGCTCAACCAGGGCCACCAAGAGCCAGTTGCCCAGGACCACATCCAGAAGGCTTTTGAGTATCTGCAAGCATGGAGATTCCAAAACCTCCCTGGGCAGCCTGTGCCACTGCTCGGTCATCCTCACAGTGAAAAAGTGTTTCCTGATGTTCAGAGGGAACCTCCTGTGTTTCTGTTTCTTCCCACTGCCTCTGCTCCTCTCACTGGGCACAACTGAGATGAGCCCAGTCCTCTTTGCACCCTCTTTTCAGGTATTTAGATACATGAACAAGATCCCCTCTGAGCCTTTTTTTCTCAATGCTGAGCAGTTCCAGCTCTCTCAGCCTTTCCTCACATGGGAGATACTCCAGTTCCTTAATCATCCTTGTGTCCCATCACTGGACTCTCTCCAGTATGTCCGTGTCTCTCTGGTACTGAGGAGCCTGCAACTGGACACGCTACTCCAGCTTATAGAGTTTTGGTCTGCAAGTGGGTAGTCTAAAGAAAAATTAGTGGTTTGGGTTTTTTTTAATTTACTTAGATAACCGCCTAGGTCTTTTCATACTGAAAGTGATTTTAATAAAACAATCTCTTGCTTGGGAGTTTCAGAAATTTTGCTACGCAATACATCCCTAACAGATGTTGAAATGTACTTCCTTGTCTCAGTTTCCCTACTGCTGCATCCTGCCAACACATTCCAAGGAAATAACTTCTCCTGGCCTTAAATTCAGTAATACTTTTAGCCCCGTAAGAAGCAACATCAGTAATAAACAACCTTTCCCAATACATAAATGGTACGAAATCCTCTCTGCTTTCAACTCTAATAAACCATGCCACATAACTAGACTGTCCAGCTCTTCTTCAAATTGAGTTAAGTTTAAAGGAGTTTAAAAGTTCAAACACAGAAATACCCTTCTGTGGTTTTCAGAATAGCCACGTTGTCAGCTATTGCCTGGGAGAAGAAGACTCTGCTTTTGCAACATTCTGTTTGAGTTATTTTCAAGGAGGAAAAGAAAAGGAATTCTAGGCAGGCACTACACATCACATCAGCATACAGAGTCTTAGTTAGGAATGAATGAGAAAAGCATTGGATCAAACAGTATCATGCTACCTAAAGTAATGGGAAAAAAAACCACCAAAACCTCCACTGAGTTTACTTTTTGAAAGCAACTGAAGCATGAATGGTTCAACACTAATTGGGGAAAAAAAGGCACAACTTATCTGTGTTACTCTGTAGTCAAAATAGTATTTGTAACAGTAACTTGAACAAGCACAAATAAGAAACAGCCACAGAAGTGTTAATTAATTTTGATTTGGGGATGAAATAATAAAACGAAAGCATCAGCATCTAATACAAATAGCAGTTTTCACTTTTACTTTGTTGTTTTTCAGAACTGTCACCTATGGTTATCGTACAAATAGCAGTTTTCCCTTTTACTTAATGGCAGTTGTTTTTCAGAACTGTCACCTATGGTTACGGAAAATTCTTCACTTGCAAACATATTCAGAAGTTGAATTTATGTCTAGTTTGGTTAGATTACAGTTTTTTTACTTGTATACGTGCATTAGAGGAAAAACATGGGAACTTAAAAACTGCCCAACTAAGATAGAACAAAATTTTAGCAAGACAAGTACTTGTTTACAAGAGCAACTACTAGAAAATAGATGCTACGTTTAAGAGAAAGGACAATTATGGAGTAAACCACAGGCAGTGATTTATGCTCATATTTGTGTTCTGAACTTACAGACTAACCCAAGTTTCTTCCTTTCACTTGGCTGGTATTCAAACTCAGTTTGGGTTGTATTCACTAGTATCTTCCCAGACCACCATGTTCTTGGCAAAGGAAGAAGAAAATCCGTAACAGAGATGCCAGAGCAGAAGAGTGGATTCTTTATAAATCAGGTAGAAAGAGGGGAGAAAAATAAGTAGAAAAAGTAGACATACACAGAGGGGAAAAAAAAAAGAGATGGTATTAGACTACTGTTAAAAAGAATTGGAAGAGTTCTGTTATATCAACCATTCCTGGCAGACTGTCAAAAAAAAAAAGTAGTAAATAAGATAGTATTGTTAAAAAAATCTCTAGCAGTCTAATATTACAAAATAATGGGACTGTGAAGATGATCTTCTTGCAGATGTCAGAAGGAACACTATGTATTCATCAACAACCTGGATGAAAGGACAGAGCGTACCCTCAGCAAGCTTGCTGATGATGCAAAACTGGGAGGAGTGGCAGATGCACAAGAAGGCTGTGCTGCCATACAGCGAGATCTGGACATGGGGGAGAGTTGGGTGGAGAGGAACGTAGGGTCCTTTGCCTAGAGAGGAATATCCCCATACACCAGTACAGGTTAGGGGCTGACCAGCTGGAAAACAGCTCTGCAGAGATGGACTGGGGAGTCCTGGTGGACAACAGGATGCCCATGAGCCAGCAATGTGCCCTTGCAGCCAAGAAGGGCAATGGCATCCTGGGGTGCATTAAAAAGAGTATGGCCAGCAGGTCAAGGGAGGACATCCTCCCCCTCTGCTCTGCCCTGATGAGGCTACATCTGGGCCCCCCAGTTCAAGAAGAACAGGGAACTACTGAGGAGAGTGCAGCAGAGGGCTACGAGGATGACCAAGGGAATGGAGCACCTCTCTTGTGGGGAAAGGCTGGGGGACCTGGGTCTGTTTAGCCTTGACAAGAGAAGACTGAGAGGGGATCTTTCAATTATTATAAATATCTAAAGGGTGGGTTGTCAAGAGCCTGGGGCCAGACTCCTTTCAGTGGTACCCGATGACAGGACAAGGGGTGATGGGCACAAGCTGGAACACAAGAAATTCCACCTCAACATGAGGAAAAACTTCTTTACTTTGAGTGTAACAGAGCACTGGAACAGGCTGCCCAGAGAGGTTGTGGAGTGCCCTTCTCTGGAGGTCTTAAAAAACCCACCTGGATGCAATCCTGTCCAGTCTGCTCTGGGTGAACCTGCTTTGGCAGAGGGTTGGACTAGATGATCTCCAGAGGTCCCTTCCAACCCCTACGATTCTGTAAGACATAATATACTTTTTTCTTCACTTACTCGTCTATATGTCTCTGTGGTAAATGGACCCAAACCTGAAGACCCAATTCTCACAACTTTGCTCTTTCTCTTTCTAATTTGCAGATATTAAAACCAATAATAATAATAATAATAAAATCTGAAAACTTTAATGATTAGAAAGGCTATTCCAACATATTTGGAAGAAGAAATGAATACTGGAAAGAGTATGAAAACTTTTCTGGCTGCGTAACACAAAACCCACATGTAGTTCTGAACAGCAATCTTGGGGGTTTCAAGGCTGAAGACAGAATTCAGATAGAAATTTGCTAAAGAGGAGGCAGAAGGAATAGCATTTTACTGAAGTTCAAAGACATTTCAATACAAGGATTCATTCTGTCCAGTCTGCTCTGGGTGAACCTGCTTTGGCAGAGGGTTGGACTAGATGATCTCCAGAGGTCCCTTCCAACCCCTACGATTCTGTAAGACATAATATACTTTTTTCTTCACTTACTCGTCTACATGTCTCTGTGGTAAATGGACCCAAACCTGAAGACCCAATTCTCACAACTTTGCTCTTTCTCTTTCTAATTTGCAAATATTAAAACCAAAAATAATAATAATAAAAAAATCTGAAAAATTTAATGATTAGAAAGGCTCTTCCAACATATTTGAAAGAAGAAATGAATACTGGAAAGAGTATGAAAACTTTTCTGGCTGTGTAACACAAAACCCACATGTAGTTCTGAACAGCAATCTTGGGGGTTTCAAGGCTGAAGACAGAATTCAGATAGAAATTCGCTAAAGAGGAGGCAGAAGGAATAGCATTTTACTGAAGTTCAAAGACATTTCAATACAAGGATTCATTCCGCACACTAAAAGCTACCTTAGAGTCTTCTTTTAAACACAAAAAGTACTGCTTAAATCCGTCTTTTATTTCCAGACTTGATTACAAGAAAGTAGCGAAACTGTCAATAGCGTTTAGTAGTCACTGGAACCAAAATCCATTTGGTTTTCCAGATAATGGTCTCTGCTAATCTGACTGTACAGCCTGGGAACTTTCAGCAAGACTAAGTGAACTGAGCTAATCTGACTGGGAACTTTCAGCAAGACTAAGTGAACTGTCAGGTTACAGAAGTTTAACCACCTTGACTTAGAGTTTACCATTCTTTTTCTTAGAGCCATTTTTTAACGCCTATAGCATTTATTCAGAGAAAACTTTATCAGCCACATACACAACAAAGGAATAAGGTATTGACAACTGACGGAGTTGCCTTTATCAGGGTTGCTGACATTCACTTCTGTCTTTTCCTCCCAGTCTCAGTAAGAGCAATCTTGATAGTACTGACGGAATGGTAAGTCAAGCAAGTCTTATTCAGCTAAATAAAACTTGCCAAGACAGGCAGTAAGTTAGTTGCTCCCCCATTTATTCATATTACTACACGCCACTTAGAAGACTGTGTGTTTGAGTACTGAATCATAGCTTAAGCAGCTTATTTTTGAAGTCTCATTTTTTTAAACGTACTTTTAAAATTTATTCTCAAAATAAGCGCAAATTCAGTCCGAACTTATGACACTTTATAACTAGACTTTAAATGGCTGCAGGGCACAATATTTTAAATGAAAACTACTCAGGCAACACTTTTGTTAATTTCAAAAATGAGGAAAAAGAATCAGGAAGCCATCAGCAAGTCACCTAGAAAAAAAAGACGAAAGTCTATTTTTAAGCCAATTGTTTCTCTTATAAGTAAAGTATCTCTATTTCAGTTTGCATTGCTCAGTTATTATTTGATTAAGAGACAATATATATTGAGAGCTGAAAGACAGAAATGCTCGTTGTCCTCCCTCTTTCAGGCTTTAACCTCAGCACTGAAAAGGCATGCAGACCAGAAAACAAGATTCAATAAGGCCCTCAAACAGTTTTGTCCACTCCCACCACCACTACCCAAACAAAAACAGCCACTGTTTAAAGACTCCTGCCAAACTCAAACTGGAAAGGAACTCTTCCAAACATACCCACAGAACTAAACAGATATTCCCTGATGGACTGTGCTCAGGGCAGAGACTGTCAGCTTCCCTCTCTCTCATTAGTCATTGACTCACTGATCAGCAAGGGCATCAACTCATGTTCCTTAACCTGCTGCCCTGCCCTGCAGCTTTTCTTGTTCCATAATCCCACATACCAGATTTGGAGAGTAGATGGTGCACTGCAATGGCAAAGTGAATGCATTCTGCCAGGGGAGCAGGAAAAAGAGCTGAAGGCCCTTCTGAAAGTTCTCATCACAGGTCAAAGCCACACAGCACTTTTAAGTGTTACATTTTCCATCATGAGCCAGTCTGGGTTTGCCAAAATGAGCTGAACCAACTGGAGCAATTTCTGCAGCATGTAGAGTGAGTTGAAACAGAACAACAGATTCAACTCCTTGGTAGGACCACACAGATACTACCCAAGGCATAGGGCTAAAATATTTGAATACAAATAGTAAGATATGCTGCTGGGAGAGGTCCAGAGATAACATTAGTCAACAAGCACTTATTGCTGACTGTCTTTGGAAACAGATTAGGTCAAGCCTCTCAACCTTCCTTCCAGTACCTCATGCTTACCATTGGAAAGGATGGCAAGAGAATCAAATTGCAAAGCAGTAAAGATGATGTGTAAATTAATAAACTTACGTTCAGCGCTTTAGTAGGATCTAAGGTACCTTCACTACAAGGTTTTCCTGCCAGGCAGAAGTCACACTGAAGAAACTTTATTTTCTGTATGCTGCACATTTACTCTAACTGCACTGAACCCTGAGGCACAAAAATGCATGGGGCTTATTTTAAAATGTTAGTTATCTTAAGACGTGCTCACCAGTAGATATTCCTTTAACGTTGTCCACACATTATTGATCAAATACCTTTCAGGTTTGGCTTTTTCGGCTCCACTACTACTGCAGTGCATAATTAATAACGAGTGAAATGACGACGACCTCCTGCTCTGTACCTTCTAGCAGTTCGGCACACCTTGTCCCCCATGCTCTACTTGATGGAAGGCAGACGGCACTTTCCAAATCTTTGCTTTGTTTAATTTTTCATTTTGCCAGTATCAAGGGCTTCAGGCTATCAGCATGACCCACGCTAGCCGTGATGAACTGATAATATGCTGCACACACATAGGAGTTTATTTGCATCTTTGGAATATTCCCTCTGGATAGTCAACATCATTGTGTAAGCTACTGTGCTGCTCAATAAGCAGTTTCACAGGACAGCCTATGAATTCTACAAGAAATTGTCCAACTAATAACTAGAAGAGCAACCAAAACCAACTCAATAATTATTACCCTTTATTATTAATATTATTTAGAGGAGAACAGTTATGCAATTAGAGTGTAAGTTCCCATTAGACAGGTCAAAAATTTATGTTTGCAGATAATTTCCTAGGGTGAAATTTCAATTTTGGCCATGAAAAGAAACTCACTTCCTTCTCTATGGTCACCACAAGAAGAGCAGGTAAAAAAACCCCAACAAATCAAACCAAAAAGAACTTCAGCAACAAAGCAAGATCAGAACACACCCCAGAAGCCTCTCATTGGGACAAAAGCCAAATGGTAAGTATTTCACGGTACTACCTCATTTCTCTTCACTGTGATACTAATTTTCATTAACATTTTAAATGTATGATGAATGCCTTCCCTTTCAGAAATTAACGTACAGTAACAAAGATGTGTTTTTCACTAATGAAATGGAATCAACCTAATCTAATGTTGTTGTGTCACTAACCAAAAAAAAAACCAAAACCAAAACAACGACACAACATAAATGTTGACATCATATGGTACCATATAGACCAACACTAAAAGACACCAGAAGTTATCTCCGGATCAATTGTCTGTTTATAGACATCTCTTCTGGAGTCCTTCGTTGAAGGAAAGGAGTCACAGATTGCAGTATTTAATGAAAACCAAGAGAGTACTTAACAGCTTTCTGGAGAACAGGGGGCACATTCAATCTTACCAAATGGGTTTTCCAGTTCAGACAAATAAGAATCTTTAAATCAACAAAACAAACAGAGTTCAGAAGACTCTGTTAAAAGCCTGCAGGAACGATGCGGTGGGATGGTGTACGTGGGTAAAGATACATGGTCTAGATGTCCCTCTCCCTCTCAACCCATTAAAAGTTGGTTTTACACATAGATGTTAGTAAGTGCACACACTGAGACTTTGCTCTGGTATTTACAGAACTAGAATGAGTTATGTGCACTGACAGTGACAAGGCTACTAAAGGGACACCAGTTGTACAAGCCCCCCCAAACTTGCAAAACTGTATTGGCAAGAGAGTGTTGCACAAAAAAAGCTTAGCTGCATTTTTAGTAACTTTAAAGTGGAAATGAAGCGTGCATTTGGAAACCTGATGAGACAACACTAACATTAACATCAGTTTGCCTGCTCCAAACTCCAGGCCTCAAGGAAAAACAATAGAAATGAGAAATTCCTGGACTATTTTATTCTCTAACCAAAAGAAGCTTAGGTAAACAAAATTAATTAAAAAAAAGTTAATAGGTAAAACGTAATTTTCTATTTTTACAATAACTATCTGGGCTACGGCTAGTGGCAGCCAAAAGTTTTGAACTCTGGATGGGAGCATAAACCCTGATTGCGGGGCTGGGCGCAAGAGGCAGCTGAGAAGGGAAAGCTATCCCCTCGTGACCTTTTCATTCTTGGCTCCAGAAGTTATTTTCTTGGGTCACTAACTGTATTTAACCAGAATCTTTGCCAAAACGCAAACAGATCTTTACCTCAAATGCCCCCAGTGCAAATTTGGTGGTTTCTTTTTTATTTTCTTCCTTGATACTAAAGATAAAAGCAGCAGGATTTTACTTCAGCCTGGAGAAGAGAAGGCTGAGGGGAGACCTTATCTATGTTTACAAGTATCTAAAGGGTGGGTTGAAGGAGGATGAAGCCGGACTCTTTTCAGTGGTTCCCAGTGACAGGACGAGGGGCAACGGGCACAAGCTGGACCATGGGAAGTTCCACTCCAATCTGAGGAAGAACTTCTTTGGGGTGAGGGTGGCAGAGCCCTGGGACAGGCTGCCCCGGGAGGGTGTGGAGTCCCCTTCTCTGGAGATCTTCAAGCCCCGCCTGGATGCTCCTGAGTGATGTGCTCTGGGCAGCCCTGCTTTGGCAGGGGAGTTGGGCTGGATGATCCCTAGAAGGTCCCTTCCAACTCTGACAATTCCCTGATTTTAATAGCAGACCCCGACTTATAAAACGGAGGGTCTCCAAAAAAACATTCAACAAATACCGTCCATCAAAGCTTCAGCCGCTACAACGCTGAACACCCCCCCCCCC